TGCCTGCAAAAATATGTGTGCCACATACACATGTAGAAGTCAGAGGGCAACTCTATGGAGTTCTCTTCCACCTTCACATAGGTTCTGGGGATAGAACTCAGGCCCTCAGGCTTGTACTGCAAGCACTTGCCATGGTTCATGTTTCTTATGTGAAACACCCAATAAATTTATATATACATATATATGTATATGTATATATTTAAAGACAGGGCCTCATTATGTAGCCCTGGTTGCTCTTGAATGCACTATGTAGACCAGGCTGGTCATGAACTCAGAGAGATCTGCCTGCCTCTGCCTCCCAAGTGCTGAGATTAAAGGCGTGTGCCTCCATGCCCGGCTTGTTTATTTTTATTTTATGTGTATGAGTGCTTTGCCTGCAGGTAGGTAAGTGCACCTGTATCATGCAATGCCCATAGAAGCCAGTAGAGGGCATCAGTTTCCCTGGAATTGGAGTTACAGATGGTTGTCAGCTGCTACATGGGTGCTGGGAACCAAACCTGGGTCCTCTGTAGGAGCAGCCAGTGCTTTTAACCGGTGAGCCATCTCTTCAGCCCTGGCCTTGAACAACTTGACTAGTAGTTTTGAAACCATTACTTTTTAAAACTTTTTTGCCAAAAAGAAATCACAGAACAGTAAGAGAGGCAGCCCCAACCCACAAGATCAGTTCCAAGTGACTTAATTTGGGCACTGCTGAGAATTAGTTTGTGCTGGAGCAAGGATCAAGCCAGGTACTGTCTCCTCAGACCAGGTTGCTTTCTCCTTCACCCATTTGTTGCCTTTGACCAAGAACACACCAAAAAAAGATCTATCAGTTTAATGAGTAAACTACAAGGACAACCATAGTAACAAATTTCTTTCTTGAAACTGGACAAGTATAAGAAATCAGTCACTGGGCTGGAGAGATGGCTCAGTGGTTAAGAACACTGGTTGTTCTTGCAGAAGACCCGGGTTCAAATCCCAGCACCCATATGGCAGCTAACCACTGTCCGTAACTCCAGTTCCAAGGGATCCAACAGCCTCTTCAGTCCTCCTCGGGCATCGCACAACATGGGTCCATTTACATACGTGCAGGCAATACACGCATACACATAAAATAAAAATAATAAAATATTTTTTTAAAAAAAGAAAGAAATCACTCACTGAGGTAACTTGAGCTGAACCCAGTTTTCAATCCTCTTTATCCCTGAACAATAGTATTTCATTAATCCAAAATCTTGATAGAAAACATGCAAGCAGAAGGGAGCAGAGAGGAAAGGGAGATTATTATATAGTAGGATTATATTTTATCTGAACCTATCTGACTTCCTATGTAAGTTAATTTTGTTTCCACACTTAGGCTTACATGAGGAAGTAATAATTCACTCACATAGAGGCAAATATCTATGCATACACAGGTACCAGTGATCTACAATCCTACAATCCAAAAAGGTCCAAACACCAAAAATGGTTTTACAACTCACTTGGCAACAAACCTTGACCTGTCTTGAACTCATATGGTGGCAAAACTTGACCTAAACTGACATGAGACTATTTATAGTCTTCTATTTTCCTTACAGTGTATGAATGTGCTTCACTGTAAAAAAAATACTGGCATTTAACTATAAGATAATGTAATAGTTCAGAAAAGTGGTTGTAGACTTGTACATAAATGGTTCAACTAAATAATGATGATACTGAAATCCTGGGGTTGGGGACATAGCTTAATTGGTAGGGTTCTTGCTTAGCATTTATAAAGCCCTGGGTTTGATCCCCAGGACTACAAAAACTGAGCATGCTGCCACACACCTGCAATCTCAGCACTAAGGATGTTAAGACAGTAAAATCAAATTTTCAAGGGCATCCTTCACTACATAAGGAGTTAGAGGCCAATCTAGGCTCCATGAGATCTTTTCTAAAAAGACACAAAAAAAAAACAAACCAAAACAACCCCCCCAACACACCAAAAATAGCAACAACCACACTAGTTCTTATATTAAGACAGGTGAAAATAATAAGCTCTCAATTTCACAATTATATTCTAAGCTCTTACATGTATTACAACTGGTTAACAACTTGGTATCATTCACGAAATAATGAAAGTATTACTTTAAGGACATATTTCAAATAAAGTCTGAGACATAAAGTAGTTGAGAATAACTACTATAGCTTAATGATGATCTGCCACATGCTATCCATTGTGTGATGCACTTCATACACAATCTTTTTTTTTAAACGTGTATGAGTGTATTGCCTGCATGTATGTGAGCGCACCCATGTTGTGCAGTATCACGGAGGTCAGAAGAGGGCTTCAGATTCCCCTGGAACTGGAGTTAAGGATGGTTCATAGCTGCCATGTGGGTGCTGGGAATTGAACCCGGGTTCTCTGCAAGAGCAGTCAGTGCTCTTAACAGCTGAGCCATCTTTCCAGCCCCCGCATACACAGTTTTATATAAGCTTCATCATCAACCCTGCCAGGAAGGTATTCTTGCCTTTATTTTAAAGATGAAGAAGCTGAGAGAGGTTAAATAACTTTTCCCAGTTCAGAGAAGGGGAGAGCCTGGGCTGCCTGAGAAACTATCAAGAGTTGGGGATGTAGCTCAGTGGTAAAGTCCTTGCCTAGGATATACCAGGTTCTGGGTTCAGACCTCAGCAGTGAATAAAAAGGAACAGAGGGAGGGAGGAAGGGAGGGGAAAAAAAAGGAAGGAACCATAAAGAAGAAAGCTTATGGCTATATCATCAAAGCCAAAGTGCCTAAGTTGACTATACCATCAAAGCCAGAGTGTCTAAGTTTGGAGGTCTCTCTGCCATGAGTTAGGTGGGTTAAATTATGCAAATACCTCAGTTTCATCACCTGTAAGGCAGATAAGATAATACTCTGAATGTCAGATGACACTGTGAGGATTAAAGTAGTATGTAAATAGAAGGCCTGGGAAGGAGAACATTAGTTATTGTCATGATCATTATTAAGGGGAGCCATCATTCAGCTTGGGATTAGATCTGCCCAGTAGTACAGCCCGCTTCTCCACTGTATTTCACAAGCTCACCACAGGCCAGCTGCCTCCACCTCTCACACCTCTGGCTGACACATTCTTTACCCCTCATTTCCCTGGTTTGTTCTTAAGTTCTGTGTCTGCTTCAAGGTTATAATTTTTTTTTGTTAAGTTAATGAAAAAAATAAAATAGAATGAAATGGAAAAATTCTAGCAACTGATGGCTTTAAATCACGTTAACACTGCAGCTAATAAACAGCTCATTTAAAATTAACCAGGTTAACAAAATCATCCAGGCTACGCCTGGTGATACATACCAGTGATCTCAGCACTAGGGAGGGCTGAAACTAGACTGCAAGCCTGAGCTATTTTGAGATCCCATCTTACCAACAAAAACAAAAATGTTATCCAAAAGCAGTAAGATACCTAAATATGCATAAAGACATTAAGTTGGGGCACATGACATAAAAACAGCCTAGCAGGCAGTGTAATATTAGGTGGATATTGCAAACAAGTCTATCTCCTGCCTTTACCTATGAGACTTTTTTTTTCTAGTCCTGATAACTACTAAAAGTACATACTAGGTAACAACATATAACTCATCCAATTATTACATAAATAGTCTGCATGCACTGTCAGTTTGGGCTACAGTCACAGCATTTAAACAAATACCACCTTCTCTAGAGACCTTACCATCCAGTTTGGGCAGACTTCAAGCACATGTGTACTGTGGCATTTTTAAAAAGCATTCCATTAATTTTAAGACTTTTTACAACCGCCTACCAAAAAAGTAAAACAGAGACAAATTTCAAGCCATTTGAAAACACAGTCTTCCTCTTATTCCAGGATTGCTGTATTAAACCACACACAGTACTGGCTTATCCAGTTCTGACCTGCCATAGCCTTTTGCACACTTAAGATAGAGAACACTTTATTAGACTGCCAAGAATGAAGTTAACTATGAAATCTAAACCGAAGAGTTATTCAGTCCAGAAAATGTGTAGATTTGTCTCCAAAAGGGCAGAAAATCCACCTAACCTGGTCCCTTTCACTTCCCAAACCGGTTGCCTGGGCCTTTTGAAGAGTTTACAATCTAACCGAACTACTTTATTGCCCTTAAAGGCTAGTAGCTATGATCTAGATCTAAGCATCATTAGCATATCTCATGACCCAAGGGCCTCTGCTGGCTCCCTAAAGGTCTGGGAGCAGGAGTCCAAGATAACCAGTCCTAGTCACCTGACAGGGCCCGAAGAGAAGCATGTGGTGCCACTGAGAGATCTTTCCCATCAAGCTGTGCACTCCTATCAGATGGGCCTTCCAGTACTGACAGGCAGCTGTACCAAACAACGGAGCAAAAGTGAAAAAAAGAAAAAGTTTAAAAAAATCCCCAGGCGGGCGTGGTGGTGCATGTCATTAATTCCAGCACTCGGGAGGCAGAGACAGGTGGATTTCTGCAAGGTCCGGCCTGCCTGCTCTGCATAGCCAGTTCCAGGGCAGCTAGGGCTACAGGTACACCCCATTTCAAAAAAATAAATAAATAAAATTCCCTTTCACACGGCAAAATCCATGTGCAAAAATACACAGGCCTCTTGGACAAAGTATGAGGTTCGGGTAAAAAAGGATAAGAAGACAAGGTGCTTTATCAAAGGTGACAAGATTAATAGGAAAGACGCTGAAAGGGGCGAGGAAGGAGGGTCCAGGAGCACTACAGAGAAACTGGGAAAGCCAAACTCCAAGTCCTAGGACGCAGCTTCACTGGCGCGAGGCCTGAGAGCAAACGTCAAATGACTGAGGGACCCGGGGTAGGGCACGCGTCCCCCCTGCACCCACCCCTAACCGTGGGAGGCCGGGACCTGTTCTCCAGCAGCAGCAGCCGGAGCCTAGAGGAGATGCGCTGTCCGCTTCTTGGGCCGAGCGGCTGGTCCCCAGGCTGCGGAGAGGATGCGGAGGCAGGAGGGGGAGCCGGGCGCCGGGGGTCGGGGCCGGCAGGGCTGCGCGCGCGGCTCCGGGGCTCGGGCTCCGCTACTCACCTCTCCGAACTGGAAAGCCGAGACGATGGTGACAACGACGCCCACGAAACAGACGTAGAGCCCATACCTGTGGGAGAGACAGGTATAGGTCTGTCTCTGCAGGAGCTTGAGCAGCATCACCCCGGCCCCGCCACGCCACCGCTCAGCGAGCCGCCATTCGGGAGCCAGGCAGGGCCGCCGCTCTTGGGTCACAGCCTGCCGCCGCCGCACATTGCCGCTCCGCAGACAGACAGCCTGCTGGGCTCCACGCCGCGGCCGCCGCTTCCGGGAGCCGGGAGCCCACGCCCTCCGCGCGGCGGAGGCGGACCCGAGGCCAGCAAAGCGCCGAGAGCCCGGGTCGGCCTCCCAGAGACGGCGGCCGAGGCGGGTCGCCAGCGCCACCTGGAGGACGGAGGGGCTAGGGCAGGCGCGTGCCGTCCCATGTGCGCGTGCGCGGCGCGATCTGCGGGCTGGGCTGGACTGGGCGGGCCCACAAGCTTCAACAGGCAACAGTTAAGTCTGTCCCCTGTAGTCTCATGACACCCAATACTGTTTGTTGCCAGGAAAACACAGCTTGTCTTAAAGGGACTAAATTTATTCTTGGGACAAATATGAGTGACTCTGGCTCTGCAGTGCCCCAAACCATATAACCCACTATGGAAGTAGTTACATGAGATTTTATTAGTTGGAGAACAAAGAAAATGACTAACCAAGGCGTTTACCAAATACCTTGGTGACAGCCACAGGTAGGCGGGTTGCAGTAAAGCTGGTAAAACTCTTAACAGGTTCAGAGGCAGTCTCATGATAGCCTTAGCTTTTTGGATTGGTGAAAGCTAGGGGTCTACTAAGAACATATTTTAAAAGATTTTAAATTATTTGTTTTATTAGTTTGAATTGTATGTGTGTCTGTGTGTGGGTATGTGCACCTGCGTATCTGTGCCTGAGGAGACCAGGGAGGTCAGAGACCCCGGGAGCTGAGTTACAGGTGGTTGTGAGCCATGCCAAAAGAACAGGAGGCATTTTGAACCACTGACCCATGTCTCCAGCCCCCTTCAATTAAAAAAAATTATATTTATGTATTTTTGTGTGTGTGTGCATGTTTGCTATAGCATACATGTGGAGGTCAGAGGACAACTTATGGGAGTCAGTTATCTCCTTTCACCATGAGGGTCTGAGGACAGACTTGGCAGCAAGCACCTTTACCCGCGGATACATTCTGCCTGGTCAAGAATATATTTTAAAGGTTTTAATAGTCACAAGGATATCAAGTCAGACACAGATATATGAATGAATTTCAAACGGTCTAAAAGTAGGCCAGGAATGGTGTGCACACCTTTAGTCTCAGCACTCAGGAGGCAGAGGCCAGCAGATCCCTGTGAGAATGAGGCCACCCTCATCTACATAGTAAATTCTAGGCTAGCTTGGGCTGCAGAGAGACCCTGTCTTAAAAAAAAAAAAAAAAAGGAAAAAGAAAAAGAAAAAAAAAGACTAAAAGTAGCCCAAGATAATGGTTCTAATCTGCAACATTTTAACTCTCCATAATCACAAAGGTCTGAACATTTTTGTTCACAAAACCTTATCTGGGCTGGGATGTAGCTCAATAGTAGAATGTTTGCCTACTATGTGGAAGGCCCTGGGTTCAATCCCCAGCACCAAAATAAAAAGAACAACAATAATACCTGTTCTGTACTTACTAGAAAATCCAGGACACTAAGATTGTTTGTGAGACTTTTGGGGCTAATATTCCAAAACTGAACTTCATTTTTTCACTAAATCTGTAGTAACTGCCTGATGCCTGGCATCCTGCAAGGTGTCTATCAGATAGATGTTTACAGTGAATTAGGGGTGGCCACTGTTGCCAGGGAGGAGAGTGGGGAAAATAAACCCATGAACCACTAGATAACAAAATAAACATGTTGTGATAGAAACAGGACACATCAAAAACAAAACAGATCTCCATGAGTTCAAGTCCAGCCTGGTCTACACAGGGAGTTCCAGGCCAGCTGGGGTAAAAGAAAGAAAGAAAAGAAACAGGGCATGCACAAGAGGCAAATCAACAAAGACATAGCCAGGCTATAAGAGGCCCAAATGGATATGGACTAAAACCACCAAAACTGAGTTGAAATAAACCTTTACTGTTTTTAAGTTGATTATCTCTGGTATTACAATAACTGAAAGCTGACTAACACAGAAATACATAGGAGCTAAGGCTTAAGGACTGGGGGAAGAAAGCGCATTCTAGGAAAGTAGGCCATACCAGTCGGTGGTGCAGTAAGATAGAACTGGAGAGTTTGTCAGGGCCTTGAAGACCATATCAAAAATAAAGGGCTTTTTAGCTGGACATGGTGGTGCACATCTCTCATTGAAACACTGGGGAGGTGGAGGCAGGCAGAACTCTGAGGTCTAATAGCAAGTTTAGGCCATCCAGGGCTACATAATGAGACCCAGTCAACAACAAAAATCCCTCCATTTTCTGTTTTTTCGCTCTGTTTCATTTTGTGTAGTTTTTCATTCATTCTCTATTTTTTTTCCTGTAGTTTTTTTTGGGAAGAGGGAAACTGAAATAGGGACTCATTCCTTCAAAATTATAGGTCTCCCTCTAAGCACTAATTTTACTGCAACCCCTAGAAACTGGTTCCAATGAGAGTTGGGGTGCTGCTGTGGGGATCAGGCCTGCGGCACCCGGTGTCTCCATAAGGGTTAGGATAGCAAGGTCAGCCAACCCTCGCCACGGCAGCAAGGTCACTAAGAGACTGCTCTCAGCGTGGGTGGCTGGGACAGATCACCACTGCAGTTCTCACATAGTCTCCTTACAGCAGGAAAAAAGAAAAAGAAAAAGCCCCGCAAGAATCAGAAGAGGAACTGAATGACAGGTTCCTGAAACATCCCTTTATCGCCCTCTACTGGCAAAATTTAATAACACACTCGCCCCAGAGGCCACCAGGATTAACAAACAGCACATTTTCAGAGGGGAAAAATGAAACTGAAAGTCAGAAACTGATTACTGACACAACCCTGAAGGCCATTCTGGGCTGGACGGTCAGAACGTGTCTCAACTAACAAAGAGGCACTTTTTTTTGGTCTTGTTTGAACTTGCTAGTAGACCAGGCTGGCCCGGCTGACCTTGACCTCACAGAGATCCGCCTACCTCTGCCTCCCAAGTGCTGGGATTAAAGGAGTGCAGCACAAAGACACTTTATTTTTCCTCTATTCTTACACCATAACCAACACAGACAACTTCTGTGACCTCAGAAAGTGTGAGGATTTTTCCCCACCAGCAAGCAATTTGTTTTGCAAGAGGGGACTATTTTGGTGCCTTTCATTTCGATTTTGACACTATACCTATAGTGACAGATCCAAAGGTTTGGGGGCTGAGTGCCTGTGATGACTGCTCTTGGCTGTTAATTTCACACACCTGGGAAGAAGGACTTTCATTTGAAGAATTTCCTCTAACAGATTGATTGGCCTGTAGACATGTTTGTGCAGCATTTTCTTGATTTCTAATTGATATAAGAGGGTCCAACCCACTGTGGGTGGTTCTATCCCTAGGCAGGTGGGTCTGAGCCGTTTAAGAAAGACAACTGAAGCCACGTGGTGCAGGCCTTTAATCCCAGCACTCCGGAAGCAGAGGCAGGCAGATCTCTGTGAGTTCGAGGCCAGTCTGCTTTAAACATAGTGAGTTCCAGGCCAGCCATTGGTACATAGTGAGACTTTGTCTCAAACCAAACAAAACTATAAACAACAAAACCACAAAACAAACAATAACAACGACAAAAGATGAATCTGGAAAGTAAGCAAAGAAAATGGGAAGCTATTTCCAGTGAAGACCTTCTTAGGGGTTTAAGGAACAGGAAAGGACTTTGTAGAGAGGAAGAGGAGGAATAGAGGGACAACGAGTGGGAAGAAGTCATGCCTGGACATTTCTGGGAGCCCGATTTCAATGGGCTAGAATGAGATATTATCTTACTGTCATCTTGGCCTTGAAGGGGAGGAGAGACATTAACTAAGTTTAGGTCAATTCAACTGTGCTTTATGGTTCCCAATAAAACCTTAAAAAAATTAAAACCTTTATTCACCTTTCAAAGATCCCCATTTAACCTAGAAAATTATGCCAAACGATGAAGAAATAGCTAATTTTCATTTCAAAGGTCAATCATATCTCATTACTAACATAAGTTTGTTAGCACAGGATATACAAGACCCAGGATATACCAGACACATACCTTTGTTATGGGCTTGACTAAGGCCTGGGAGTGCTCGGCTGGAGTTTCCAGCTCTCCCTCACTCTCTCTTTTTTTTTCAAATTGTATTTATTATTTTTATTTTATGTGTATGTGTGTATTGCCTGCACGTAGGTAAGTGCACCCATGTCATGCAATGTCGGCAGAGGTCAGAAGAGGCTGTCAGATCCCCTGGGACTGGAGTTACAGACAGTTGGGTGCTGGGATTCAAACCCAGGTCTTCTGCAAGAACAACCAGTGTTCTTAACTGCTGAGCCATCTCTCCAGACCCTCCAGCTCTCTTTTAAACTATGTTGCATAATTAGTGAACTTGGAGAATGTAGCAAAAAAGCTGCATGGCCTCCACACCTCCATCTCTACGTCTGCCTTCCAAAACTCTAGTGTGACAGTACACATTTCAAGGTGGCTGCACCTGCAAAGGCTTTGCTAGCTCCCTGGTGTAGGAATGACTTTTCTTAAAGGACATAATCTGGACTAACCACTTCTAATTAACCCCAGCAAAATCATGCACTCTTGAGCATGTTGTCTCCTTGGTAATCTCAATTTGGTACTCCACCCAAAAAGATAATGAGCAAATGTAAGTATGCTAGAGAATTAACATATCAAGGCACTGCAAACAGTGCATCTACCTGTTGGACACTGTAGAAGTTAGGAAGAACACGTGATCTTGGATGAACGAGATACTAGGAATGAAAAGGCCAGATGGTCTAATGAGTTAAGGGTGGAGCTGAACTTAAACTTTGTACTTCCCCAATGAAGCTGAAGAAACTATTTTTAATAAATTATAGGTGTGACCTGGTGGGGCTGGGGAGCACAGTGGGAGAAACAGGGTTCCAGGATAAGTCCCATCAGCACTGGGTGAAGACACAAACAGTTCCATTTACACAGGGTGAGGAGATGGGTGAGATCCATCAGCACGTTCCTCCATCTTGTTCTTTTAATTTTTATTTATTATTTTATTTTATGTCTATGATTGTTATGTCTGCATGCATGTAAGTGCACCTGTGTCATGCAGTGTCCAAGGAGTAC